AAAAACTGCAGTTTTATGAATGAAAAACTGAAAGGCTGCCTTTAGGTAAATACCCATACTTTGTTGTTATCATTAGCTTTTTAAAGTAACTGTAAATACTTTGGAATATGTTTTGGAATTCCACCAGGATTTGGTAAACCCATGATCACTAGGAGACAATAGGTGTGTACTGTTATGTGCTGGAACACAGGGACTGGTAAGGTACAGTTTCTGATTCCCAAATAGTGAGGGCATGAAACACAGTGACAAACCATACATTCTACAAATGGAATGCAGTGACAGCACATAGCAATAGGTCTTACAGGAAAGTTACCAACAGTGTTTTATAGGTAGTAGGGAGTGTAGTTAAGGAAGGGGAGACAAATTAGTTAGCTGGTCATGTGCTCTGTTTATTCCAGGAGAGGGCAAAGCCCATGCATAGATGCAAAGGCAGGAAGCCAGAGCTGCCCTATTGTGGACTGGAAGGCAGACCATGAAGAAATAAAAAACAGTAAAGGTTTTTGTATCATGATAAATAAAAGACCCAGAGGCAGATTTTAGGGTTCAAGCTTTAAGCTGAAGATCAGAAAAGCAAAGAAGCCAAGTCACTACCTCTTACTTCTACCTCAGGCTGAAAGGGCTGATCCTATCACACGAAGCCTCAAACTGCTGTCTCTCCTCAGTGTGGCTGGAGAATCAATCTCCTCATGAGACCCCTTGTCTTTTATGCCTCCCCAGTACTGGGATTAAAGGCGTGTGATCCCAAGTGCTGAGATCATCTTTGTGTGAGCTGTTTCTCTTTAGGACTGGATCAATTTTATGTAGCTCAATGTGGCTTTGAACTAACAGAGATCCATCTACCTCTACTTCCCAAGTGGTGGGATTAAAGGTGTGTACCACTACCACCCAGCTTCTATAACTAACTAGTTTGGCTGCTTTGCTATTTTGATCTCCAGTGGTTTTAATAAATCATAAACAAGATATCACCACAGGTTTTAAGCAGGAAGCAACATGTTCAAGGCCATCCTTTTAAAGCTTTCAGGGAATAGTGAAACAAGAACGTGGGCAACACAGACATGGGCTCAACACTTAGTTGTCTTAGTTAAGCCTTTTATTGCTGTGAAGAGAAACCATGACCATGGCAACTCTTATAATGTAAAATATTTAATTGGGGCTGTCTTACAGTTCAGAGGTTTAGTCCATTATTGTCATGGCAGGAAGCATGGCAGGACACAGCAGACATGGTGCTGGAGAAGTAGTTCTATACCTAGATCCTCAGACAGCAGGAAAAGAGAATAACCCTGGACCTGGCTTGAGTTTCTGAAACCTCAAGCCACCCCCAGTGACACACTTCCCTCCAACAAGGCCACACCTACTTCAACAAGGTTACACCTATTCAACAAAGCCACACCTCTTAATAATGCCACTCCTTATGGGCCTATGGAGGCCATTTTAATTCAAAATGCCACAAAGACAAATCCTTTTATTTCCCCCCTCTTTTAACCACACACACACACACACACACACACACACACACACACACACCCCACAATACACTACATGGTTGGAGACATACATTATGAAAGATTAACATCTGTTTTACCTTACATATTTATTTGTGGTGGGAACAGAGATGAGATCTATGCCTGGGTTTTATCAACTGTTAATGGAAAGTAGAGCAAGACATAACAAACTGAAGTAGTGGAGTATAGCAAGTAACAAATGGCAGCTGTTAATATTCATATTGTGCATCTATGGCTTCAGGAAAATTCATATGGGAATCTGATGAGATAGACTGAAACCTTTCATAGGAGAAGTAGTTTTCAACTTTTCAGATTGTCAACAAGGCAATCTGAAATTTAGGGGATGAAATTGAAAACTTAGGGGACAGTCTGAGGATAGATTGTGTGAGAAGAAAGTGTTAGTGATGAACCCTGGGTCTAGAATGGGTGACTAAAAGGCTGTGGCTGATGGCTCCTGACAAAGAATCTGGAGGCAAGGTGAGTCTGGGAATGTGGGGTCTTGCTGAGGAGCATACCCTTGTATGCATCTAGGAGTGAGAATCTAAGAGGTCAGTGGGCAAGTCTGGGGTGTGTGTATAAGGTGTGGAGGGGAATTATGACAAGAGGAGGTTCTGAGAGGGTATGTTCAGTCAGAAGCTTAATGAACCAGGACAGAACCTGAGGACACTGACTAAGGGACAAGTAGACAGTGGCACCCATGGAAGAAAAGAAATACAAAGTGAACTGGAGCACAACTCAGTGAGTGAAGCAACAGTCATCAAAGTGTCAAGACTGGAGTTCACCTCATACCTACAGGTAAGTATCTCTCACACTTCATCAAAGACTCTTCTTTTTAAAGCACACAGAAACCATTACAGAAAGCCACAGCTATTCAAAAGACAGAGAACAACTGACGCTGGGGTGCTCAGCCCCAATTGATGTATCTATAACACTATAGCACAAACCTTACCCTTAAGGCTCAAGGAACATTGAGGAAGTGGAGGCAGAAAGACCATTAGAGCCAGAGGGCTAGAGAGTCTGCTGCAAGATTGTGACTTCCAGATGTGACAGGGAATCTGTGCCCAGGGAATCTCAATATTGCTGTTTAAGCAGAGCTGAGCAAGGACAGGGAAAATCTCCTGGGGCTCCATGCCCAGATGAAGAGCTACAGACAATTAAAGACTGCTGAGAGGGAAAATCAGTCTTTCCCAGGTGAGCCCCTTAAATTATTATTCAATCCCAAGTGGTCAGCCCTAAAAACATATACATATAAGCAACACTAAACAGACTCAGCAGGTTGTATTTACACATTTATTTACTTTCATATATGTATATGCTATAACACACACACACACACAGACATATTAAAGAATGAGAGACCATGAATTTGAGAGGGAGCAGGGGGGAGGGGAACATGGGAGGAAGAGGCAATGCTATAATTATATTTTAGTTTAAAATTTCTGGGTTTTGAGATCAATTCAGTCTTTGTAGCCTCGGCTGTCTTGGAACTCACGTGTAGACCAGAATGGCCTCAAACTCACAGGGATCAACCTGCCTCTGCTTCCAGGGTGCTGGGGGATTAAAGGTGCTGGCTAACTAATTTTAAAAATGATTGGAGTTTAGATCACAAGAATTCATGAAGAAGCTGAATGAAGGAGAGTACAACAATTATGATGTTGAGTGTTATCAGTTTGACAAGATTTAGAGACATGGGCCTCTTGGCATGTCTGTAGAGAATTATCTACCAACCCACTGTGGGTGGTATTAAAAGAAGAAAGTCTGCTGAGCACGGGATCCATTGGTAGAAAGATAAAGTATCTCTCTCTAGCTCTCACTCTCTTTATGTGTATGTGTGTGTGTGTATATATATACATATACATACATACATACATACATACATACATACATACATACATGTCTTCCCCCCACACTTGTAGATACAATGGGGAGATGGGAGAAGACGACAGAAAAATCCCTGGAAGCCTGGGGTCAGCTAGTAGGTACATGTAGTGGCGAACAATATACCTTGCCTCAAGAAAGGTAGAAGCCAAGCTTGTCTTTTGACCTCCAGATGATGCACACTATGATATGTGCATTCATTCACTTACACACAACATGGCATAAACAGTAGTGAAGAGGGGAAAGAATCCGCCATACATCTAGGTGAAGAGACAGGGAGGAATTATCCAGGAGGAGGAGGAAATTGCAGACTCAAAGGTTAGGTTCAACATTATTGTCTTGGTTTTTTGTTTAGACAGGGTCTCATTATGTAACCATGGTGGCTGGCCTCACAGAGATCCTCTTACCTCTGCCTCTCAAATCACTATTTGTAAGATAAAGAACTCTGATCATTCTGTGAACTGTGACGAAAAATGCAGATGATGGCAAAGAACAATGATGATGCACTAAAGAATCACTGAAGGAACAGGGTCCTTGAGGAAAAAGAAGAGCTTTACAAGTATTACCCATGTATCAGGGGCCTGCTCAGTCTGATGGGGAAGCAGTATCAACACACAGGAGAGTGACACAGACACCAGTCCTCTGGGTACATTATGCCACAGAATGGAGGACTCAGCTGGTATGGCTTTCCTGAACCATGTCTGTAACTGTGTACTCTCCACTCCCACAGTAGCAGCCGAGACCCAGCCCCAGGAATTTGATGAGGCTTTTCTGTTTGTTTGTTTTGTATGAATGAACAAATGCATCCATTGGTAATTATTCCCAGGGACAGAAATTTTAAGGAGGTGAAAGAAAATATTTTAAAATAAGCGAAGTAATTTGGGACATTAATCAGTCAAACATTAATAAAAATCATACTACACATACAACAGTATGCAAGCCTACTTGAGCTATGAGTTAAACTGACTGGGCAATACCAGAGTCACAGATCTCAAGTTTTCAGACTTTTGGTACATTTCAATGAATATCATCTTCATATTGTTCCTTTGTCAGACAAATCTAGAACACTGTGGGCTTGCTTTATAGAACCTGTCTACTTTCCAAAATTGACTTGTGTTTAATTACAGGGATCTATCTGTCCCATTACTAGAAGTTATGCCTCAGAGTTCCAGGGCAAATGTGATGGCTCCCCCCCCAAAAAAAAAAAAACCAACCAACCACGCACACTATCTGTTTTTATTAGAACTCCTGTACATAAGTGTTAAAACTGTTAGGCTTTACGATACACACAGAGAACATCCATGTAGGGACCACAGGGAAATTCTCCAACAAAGAACAGGACCAGACCCGAGCCATGCTTAGAAGCGTGGGGTGCATCCCTATTTATTACTGTTCTTGGAGAGAGGAGGCACTTTCTAAACTAACAGAAAAGGAGTTGCAACAGGAAATGCTGTGTGGTGACAACATCTAAATAATACTTACTATGTCAGAAGACGCAACTACTTTAACAAGCAGTTATATACATAATAATTAAATGGTCTGACTTTTAAGGATCAAACCAAGTCCATCATCTATGACTTAAAAAGGCACAATTCAATGCATTCAGAAGGTTCTACTTACCTATAGCACAATGTAAAATCTAGAGAGGGAAAAAAAGGGGGGGGAGAGAAAATTAGTGAGGACAGCTTTATTTCACATCAACTGCTCTTTTAGCAGTGGCCAGCAATACTTAACCTGAGGAAAAAAAAATTGCACTTTTAAACCTTGCTACAGGCTATTTAACAAAATAAAACTTGTTACTAGTTTTGTTTGTTCATTTTAGTTTGTGCATCTCTGGGAGAGATCCTAAAGACTTAATGGTCACATAGTGGCTTGCTAGATGTCAATGACCTCTTTTATAACTCCTCAGCTCACAAGTACAGCCAAACCACAGCATCTCCTGTGTCCCATAATCTTCAGAACAGAACTGTCACAGGCCACACAACATGGCACCAGTAGCGCCTTTGCTGGTTGTTCCCGCCCAGCAGACCTTTCAATGCAGATATTCATTCTTCAAAGCTCCCTATCCTTGGTCCCTATCTTGTCTCCCTCAACAATCTTGCTACAGAGTTCTTCCCTGGTCCAATTTCTAGGCATGTCTCCCAGCTCCAGGTCCACTTTCCAAACCTCTTGGAAGTCTGCATGTACTACATCAGCATCTCAAAATGGTTACCTCAATGGGAAGCACATCACTTCCTTCTATGTTACACCTGAGATCACTGGGCTCCTGGTCTGTTGGACTAATGTTCCCTCACCCCCAAATCTCAACTGCCTTCCTATTCCTGCTGATGTATCTCAGATTCGTCTTGTTTTCACTTCTAGCGCCTGGAGTGAGAATGCCAATTCCACCCTATCTCAATGGCCTCCCAACTAGCCAATTGTGCATGTCCTTCTAAATCCCTGTTGCTTTAACACTGGTGATGACTGTCTTGAAGCCACTTCTAGGGCTAAGTTCATGAACACAGTTCTTCTGGGAGATAAGGATAAAATCTGTTGGAGTTCCTGTTACCACTTTTATAAAACACCTGTAGCAGTCACTTATCTGATGCGGCTAGTCACCCTGACAGGTAGACAGGGCAGCTGGGGCAGTGAGTGGGAATACTAGGAAACAGAAAGCTGCACAGCTTGCCCACAATGATCAGCGATGGCCTGGGAAAGAACCCATGCCTTGGTTTTCTGTATTCTCTGTGTTTTCTACCACTATTTCTGAGTTATGAGACCCAGAGGTCAGATTGTCACAAGACAGACTTTAGCTAAAATGTATCTTATTAGTTCTGTGCTTAAAGACTCCTTATTTCACTATAACACCCCCAACCCCATTTGGGGTGGAACGAGCAGAGTAGAGGGAGAGAGCCTGGATTAAAAAACTGAGCTATGCAAAAGTTGCCATTACTTGAAAAGGGAAGAGAAGGATCTCCATCCAGCCACTCATGTTATCCTTTTCAAAAAGCACCCCTGAAAATCTCAACTGTGTGACTATTACAAGAGAAGCTAAATCTGCTGCACAGCTGAAAAATCAGAAGACATATCTAGATTAAAACAAGGGCTGAAACACATGAATGAAATGCATCCTTTGAGAAGACAGAAAGCGGCATGCATTCTCTTCATGTATGGGACAAGACATCCTGACTGCTGGTTAAGGACAGAGCACTGGATGAAGAACTGGCAGCAATTCATGCTACCCTTCTTTTCTAGGTCTCTATCCTACGAGACTGAGCCTCTCCTTTTTCAACACACAGATTTTACAATGCTCCATTCACCTTCCTAATAAAACTTACAGCTGATATGACCTACTTACACAAAAATTTCAAAAAAACTATCCGAACTGAAACACAAAGAAATAAAAGAAAATTATATATATCACACACACACACACACACACACACACACACACACTCACTCACACTCAGGGGCCAGGAAGATGGCTCAATAGGTGAAGGCCCTGCTGTACAATCTGGGCAACCAAGTTTGTGAGGAGCCCATGGGAAGGTAGATGAAGGGACTGACTCCACAGTGTTCCCTCACTTCCCCATGTTCACTGTGACTCCTGTGCCCACCCCCACATTATAATAAACAAAACTCAAAACATAGTAAGAATTTCCGACACCACCCTGAGTAAGCACTAGCTTACTCAAACTATCACGAGAAACAAAACCACCATTAAGGTTGATAGTGACAGAAACACAGCAGAGCAGACAAATGGAATTCTATTTCAGATTTACTAGATCTTCTGTACAAAGTACAGCACAGAGGTAATCCTGTAGGTTATTCCAATGGGTCAAACTAAGAAAGCACAGAAAACGTATCCTTCTGTCCTGAAATCCTGGGCCTAGTGTGCATAATTTCCTTGCACATCCTATTTTTTAAATAGTGAAACAAGGACCAAAAGATAAATTATGAGAAAATGAACCATCACCACCACCACCACAGCAAAATGACCCACAGAATTCAAGAGGCAAAAATATAGTTATGCACTAGACTGGGGACCCTTTCAGATAAAATTAAAAACTAGAGCTGAGAAAATAACTCAGTCACAGTTAAGTACTCACAAGAGACCTGAGTTCAATCCTTAGAACCACACATAAACAAACAAACAAACAAACAAACAAACAAACAAATCAGGCTGGTAATCTAGTGCTGGTGAGGACAAAGCCTCACCTACATGGCAGGTTCCAAACAGTGAAAAAGCTTGAGTCAAAAAACAGCAAAAAAACACACAGAAACTAAGGTGGATACCTAAGGCGTTCTCTGGTTTCCAGCTTCCATGTACTTGTATACACATAGCCAACCACACAAATAGTAACAACAATAATTTTAAAACCAAAGCTATCACAAAATAAAACTTCTGTTTGACAACTGAAATTTCTTTTCTTCTTTCCTTCCTTCCTTCTTTCCTCCCCCACCCCTTTCTTTTTTTGTTTTTTTGAGACAAGGTTTCTCTATATAGCCCTGGCTATCCTGGAACTGGATCTATAGACCAGGCTGGCCTCAAACTCAGAGATCTGCATTGCTTCTGCCTCCCAAGTGCTGGGAATAAAGGCATGTGCCATCACCGCTCAGCCCGAAATTTCTTACCATCACACAGATAACATGAAATATTATTAGTCTATATTAGAGAAGGTGTTGTTCCCACTTTTTTTTTTTTTTTTGAGACAGGGTCTCACCATATACCCTTGGCTTGCCTGGAACTTGCTATGTAGACCAGGTTGGCCTTGAACTCACAGAGATGCTTCTGTATGTTGGGTTTAAAGGTATGCACCACCCAGCCAGAACTACCCTGCTAATTTAATGTCTAAAGTCTGAGCAGCAACCTTCAGTACTCTACCTCATATTTCAGTTGTTACTTTTTCAGTAACAACACTAGCACTCTGAAACCTTCTCAGTCAAGTATGCAGGCTAGGAGTGCCATTGTACTTCCAGAACACAATGTGAGAGGGAACAAATTATTTTGAGGTAGTATCTTTATTTCATATTAGCTTTTTCTTCCAATTGATGGTGTTAGCACATAGAATTCTAAAGGCAATCGTCCAAGGTTATCCAAATAACTAACGATCTAGATATTGTAGGATAAAGATTTTGCAAATGTAATTAAAATGTCAATTTATTTATTTAATATTTATTTATCTATAGATAACATCTCACTCTGTAGCACACGCTGGCCTGGAACTCACAATATAGCCAGCCTGGTTTCGAACTTATAAAAATCCTCCTGCCACAGCTCCTAGTTGTTATGACTACAAGCATGGGCCACCACACCTCAGTAAGTCAACTGATTTTAAAGTACCAAGATGGTTTGGGTAGACTGACTAAATCATAAGCACACTTTAAGAGTTTTCTAGCATGCATGTGATCTTGGGTTTGAGTCTCAGAACTGGAAAGAGAATAAGAGTCTTCTGAGGCAGGTGGCAGTAGGGAAGCCAGAGACACTCAAAGAACAAGGATTCAACATAGCATACTTGGAGGCTGGAGGGGCTGTGTGCAAGGAATAGTCCCTGAGTGACAAATGGTTGCCAGCCAACAGCGAGCCAGGAAACAAGAACCCCAATGACATCGTCAGCCTCCCTGATGCTTCATGCTGGCACCTTGATTTCAGTCTTGCGAGTCCCTGATGAGAGAACCCATAGGCTTTAGCTTGTAACTTACAGAATTGGGAACTAAGTGTGTGCCGCTGCAAACTGCTGACTGTACGGAGTACAGCAACCAAGCCTACAGAAATCCTCTAAGCCTTTTCTCTTAACATCTTGTGAAGGTTTTTAGTATTAGTATATACTATGAGAGGCTAGCCTGGGGGTGGGGCAGAACAAATCTTCATTAAGTTGGACTCTTCCATGCACTATGGGACATCATGTTAGCAGTGTCCCTAGTAACCACGAAAATGAAAACACCTTTATATAATTTTCCTAACTCCTTAGGACAGTGGTTCTCAATCTTGCTAATGCTGCAACCCTTTAATACAGTTCCTCATGTTGTAACACCCAACCACAACATTATTTTTGTTGCTACTTCATAACTGTAATTTTGCTACTGTTATGAATTGTAATGTAAATGTATATGTTTTCTGATGAAATCAGGTGACCCTTGTGAAAGGGTCATTCAATCCCCAAGGGGTTTGGACCCACAGGTTGAGAACTGCTGTCCTAAGAGGTACCAGTGTTCTGGGATCATAGAATAAAATCACTGGACTAAAACAAGCATACCTGATAGGAATAACAGTAGAGAAAACTTACCATATTCAAAACACCTGCAAAAACACAATACATTCTTTCCTCCAGAGCCCTTTACATTGTGGGGATATGACAGACAGCCCTAACTTGATGGCCTCTACCCTACTCCAGTGACACTTTGCCCAGAGTGCTCAGACCTGTTTAATAGTTTACACCGAACTCCCCTGTAATAGCTAAAGAAACTTAATATGGTAGCAGGCACCCCTTAAGGGATGTTGACCTTTGTCCTGGAATGCCTTCGAGACCCTAGAGGCCTGAAGATTTAATAAGAATAGGATAATGATGTTCCTGCTTTCTGCTTTTGTAACCCTGCTTATTCCTGTGGGAGTGGGATGAGGTGGTCTTTTTGTTACTATACAATGGGAAAGAGAAACAA